GCCTTCCATTTGCTTGGTAGATCTTCCTCCATCCATTTACTTTGAGCCTATGTGTGTCTCTGCAGGTGAGACGGGTCTCTTGAATATGGCACACTAATGGGTCTTGACTCTTTATCCAATTTGCCAGTCTGTGTCTTTTAATTGAGGCATTTAGCCCATTTACATTTAAGGTTGATATTTTTATGTGTGAATTTGATCCTGTCATTACGATGTTAGCTGGTTATTTTGCCCATTAGTTGATGCAGTTTCTTCCTAGCATTGATGGTCTTTACAATTTGGCATGTTTTTGCAGTGACTGGTACAGGCTGTTCCTTTCCATGTTTAGTGCTTCCTTCAGGAGCTCTTGTAAGGCAGGCCTGGTGGTGACAAAATCTCTCAGCATTTGCTTGTCTGTAAATGTTTTTATTTCTCCTTCACTTATGAAACTTAGTTTGGCTGGATATTAAATTCTGGGTTGAAAATTCTTTCTTTAAGAATGTTGAAGGCCGGGCGCGGTGGCTCAAGCCTGTAATCCCAGCACTTTGGGAGGCCGAGACGGGCGGATCACGAGGTCAGGAGATCGAGACCATCCTGGCGAACACGGTGAAACCCTGTCTCTACTAAAAAATACAAAAAACTAGCCGGGCGAGGCGGCGGGCGCCTGTAGTCCCAGCTACTCGGGAGGCTGAGGCAGGAGAATGGCGTAAACCCGGGGGGCGGAGCTTGCAGTGAGCTGAGATCCGGCCACTGCACTCCAGCCCGGGCGACAGAGCCAGACTCCGTCTCAAAAAAAAAAAAAAAAGAATGTTGAATATTGGCCCCTACTCTCTTCTGGCTTGTAGAGTTTCTGTCGAGAGATCCACTGTTAGTCTGATGGGCTTCCCTTTGTGGGTAACACAGCCGTTCTCTCTGGCTGCCATTAACATTTTTTCTTTCATTTCAATCTTGGTGAATCTGACAATTATGTGTCTTAGAGTTGCTCTTCTCAAGGAGTATCTTTGTGGTGTTCTCTGTATTTCCCAAATTTGAATGTTGGCCTGCCTTGTCAGGTTGGGGAAGTTCTCCTGGAATATCCTGAAGAGTGTTTTTCAACTTGGTTCCATTCTCCCCGTCACTTTCAGGTACACCAATCAAATGTAGATTTAGTCTTTTCACATAGTGCCATATTTCTTGGAGGCTTTGTTCATTTCTTTTTACTCTTTTTTCTCTAACCTTGTTTTCTCACTTTATTTCATTAATTTGATCTTCAGTCACTGAGACCCTTTCTTCCACTTGGTTGAATTGGCTACTTAAGCTTGTGCATGTGTCACGTAGTTCTTGTGCCATGGTTTTCAGCTCCATCAGGTCATTTAAGGTCTTCTCTACACTGGTTATTCTAGTCAGCCATTTGTCTAATCTTTTTTCAAGGGTTTTAGCTTCCTTGTGATTGGTTCGAACATCCTCCTTTATCTCAAAGAAGTTTGTTATTACTGACCTTCTGAAGCCTACTTCTGGCAGCTCATCAAAGTCATTTTCTGTCCAGCTTTGTTCCATTGCTGGTGAGGAGCTGTGATCTTTTAGAGGAGAAGAGGCGTTCTGGTTTTTAGAATTTTCAGATTTTCCACTCTGGTTTCTCCCCATCTTTGTATTTTTATCTACCTTTGGTCTTTGATGTTGGTGGCCTACAGATGGGGTTTTGGTGTGGATGTCCTTTTTGTTGATGTTGATGCTATTCCTTTCTGTTCATTAGTTTTACTTCTAACAATCCATTCCCTCAGCTTCAAGTCTCTTGGAGTTTTCTGGAGGTCCACTCCAGACCCTGTTTTCCTGTGTATCACCAGTGGAAGCTGCAGAACAGCAAATATTGCTGCCTGATCCTTCCTCTGGAAGCTTCGTCCCAGAGGGGCACCCACCTGTATGAGGTGTCAGTTGGTCCCTCCTGGGAGGTGTCTCCCAGTTAGGCTACATAGAGTTCAGGGACCCACTTGAGGAGGCAGTCTGTCCGTTCTCAGAGCTCAAACACTGTGCTGGGAGCACCATTGCTCTCTTCAGAGCTGTCAGACAGGGACGTTTAAGTTTGCAGAAGTTTCTGCTGCCTTTTGTTTAGCTATGCCCTGCCCCAAGAAGTGGAATGTACAGAGGCAACAGGCCTTGCTGAGCTGCAGAGGGCTCCACCCAGTTCGAGCTTCCCTGTATGCTTTTTACCTACTCATGCCTCAGCAATGGCAGACACCCCTCCCCTAGCCAGGCTGCTGCCTCACAGTTCGATCTCAGACTGCTGCACTAGCAGTGAGCAAGGCTCTGTGGGTGTTGGACCTGCCGAGCTAGGCGTGGGATATAATTTCCTGGTGTGCTGTTTGCTAAGACCATTGGAAAAGTGCAGTATTTGGGTGGGAGTGTCCCAATTTTCCAGGTACACTCTGTCATGGCTTCCTTTGGCTAGGAAATGGAAATCCCCCAACCCCTTGTGCTTCCTGGGTGAGGCAATACCCTGCCCTGTTTCAGCTCACCCTCCATGGGCTGCACCCACTGTCCAACCAGTCCCAGTGAGATGAACCAGGTACCACAGTTGGAAATGTAGAAATCACTCGTCTTCTGCATCGATCACGCTGGGAGCTGCAGACCAAAGCTGTTCCTATTCGACCATCTTGGAATGGACGAAAGTTCCTATACACTTCCTTTTCCCCCTTACATCTTGTATAAGTATGATACCTTTGTTACAATGATTAACCAATATTGATATATTATTATGAAACAAAGTCTGTAGTTCACATTAGTGTTGTTGTTTTTTTTTTTTTTCTGTTGTACAGTTCTAGGGGTTTTGAAAAAGGCATAATGTCATGCAACATTTCAGAATCATACAGAATAGTTTCTCTGCCCTAAAACTGCACCTATTCATCCTTCCTCCTCCCTAAACTCCTGGCAACTACTGTCTTTGTACTGTCTTCACAGTTTCATTTTTCCAGAATGTCATATAGTTGGAATCATATAGTATGTGGCCTTTTCAGACTGGCTTCTTTTACTTAGCTATATACATTTCAGGTCTTCCATGTCTTTCTGTCGCCTGATTTCTTTTTATTGCCAAATAATATTTTGTTTCTTTTTTTTTTTTTTTTGAGATAAAGTCTCACTGTGTCACCCAGGCTGGAGTGCAGTGGCTCCATCTCAGCTCACTGCAACCTCCATCTCACAGGTTCAAGCAATTCTCCCACCTCAGCCTCCCAAGTAGCTGGAACTGCAGGCATATGCCACCATGCCCGGTTAATTTTTGTATTTTTAGTAGAGATGGGGTTTTGCTATGTTTGTCAGACTGGTCTCGAATTCCTGACCTCAACTGATCCACCTGCCTTGGCCTCCCATAGTGCTGTAATTACAGGCATGAACCATTACACCTGGCCATATTTCATTGTATGAACATACTATAGTTCATTTATCCATTCACTTATTGAAGAACATCTTGGTTGCTTACAAGATTCAGCAACTATGAATAAAGCTGTTATAAATATCTGTGCAGAAATTTTTGTGTGGCTATACGTTTTCAACTCATTTGGCTTAATACAGAAGAGAATGATTGCTGTATTACATGGTAAGAATATGTTTAGCTTTGCAAGAATCCGCCAGTCTGTCTTCCAAAGTAGCTGCACCATTTTGCATTCCCACCATCAATGAATGACAGTTCTTGTTGAGCCACCTCCTTGTCAGCATTTGGTGTTGTCAGTTTTGGATTTTAGCCATTCTAATAGGTGGGTAGTGGTACATCATTAATATTTTAATTTGAAATTGCTACTGACATATGATGTGGAGCATGTTTCCTTATGCTTATTTGCTATGTGTATATTTTCTTTGGCAAGGTGTCTGCTCAGATTGTTTGCCTATTCTTTAATTGGGTTGTTTCCTATTGTTGAGTTTTAACAGTCTTTTGTGTATTTTTAATGTAAGTCCTTTATCAGGTATGTTCCCTGCAAATATGTTCCCAGTCTGTAGCTTGTATTGTCATTCTCTTGACAATTCTTTTGCAGAGCAGAAATTTTTAATTTTAATGACAGAACTTATCAACTTATCAATAGTTTCTTTCAAGAATTGTTCTTTTGGTGTCATATCTAATAAGTCATCACCAAACTTAAGGTCATCTAGATTTTCTCCTGTGTTATCTTCTAAGTTTTATAGATATTCATTTTTCATTTAGGTCTACAATAAACTTGGAGTTAATTTTCACGAACGCTGTAAGGAAGCTTCTAAGGGGGACATAAGTTAACTTCTTTGAGAGTGGGCAGGTGATTGTGAAACTCTTAGCTGGGTCTTACAACAGATCCCAGATCCATCCGGAGAGCCCTACCTTCAGAAACCCATAGTGGAATGTGTTTCATGGATACACAGAGGAGAATATGCAGTCATATGCTCACATGCACGCCTGCACATGATCACACACATGCATATGGTATGTCCTGATCCAGAGTTGTCCAGGCATTCTCTGAAAGTGGTTCTTTCCTTCAACTTCAACTTCTTTAAGAGGTACAATGACAGAATGTCATTAAAATAAAAACTTCTACTCTGCAAAATAATTGTCAATGGACTGACTCTGTATGTCCATTCATGTCTCGTTGTGTCCCTGGACTGACTCTGGATGGGCGACAGTGGCCTTACCTGGTAGTGAGCTCAGACTGCACCTTGGTACTCAAAGCGCGCTGAGTAGGTGAGAGTGTGGGCAAGTGTGCAGTGAAGGTAGGACAGCCACCCACTAGGTCTCCGGAAAAACCCCCAGGACAGGGATGTTCAGGCCATGTGATGCTATACTAAGCTGTTTTACGTGAGGAAGGGGTGCTTTTTAAGAATCTGTCTAGAGGGCTATGGGCACAGATCTGTGTTCGAAGATTTTCTGGGCACTTACGTTTTGTGAGACATCAGATAGAGACAACTTTCTGAGCCTCAGTTTGTCACGTGTAAAATGGGCATGAATGCTGTTCCCCTTCGCAGAGGATTGTGGCAATTAAGTGAGGTGAGTGTGCAACGCTTTTTGAACAAAGCTGACATGGAGGTACTTGTTCAGGAAATAAGAGATACTATTATTACTACTCTTCATAGCATACTGTAAGGTTTCCCTTCCTCTCATCCCAGCTCTGAAGGACATCATCAAGGTCAACTGAGCCCCTTCTGTTTCTTCTCTTCCCTCTAACCACGTCGCCCCTTCCTTTCCCCCATCCTGCCCCCATTCTTAGCCCCGCCCCTGCCCCCGCCCTTTCCCGGGCCCCGCCCACCAGCTGTGCACCAGCACAGCCCTCCCTCAGCGGGGCAGGAAGCTCATGGTGTAGTTTCGTGGGATCGTGGCAAAGCCCACGTGTTTGGGGGACACATCGATGTCCTTAGGCGACTGGGGGGACTCGAAACGAAAGTTCTGCATGATGGTGGTGAGGAAGAGAAAGAGCTCCATTCTGGCCAGGCCTTCTCCGAAACAGTTCCGCTTTCCTGAGGAGGAGAGGCGGGAGGGGTGGAGGTGAAGCCCACTCTCAGTGCAGCCTCGCCCCACTACCGACCTCCAGCTGCGGCTCTCCCAGGGAGGAGAGGTGGAATATTATGGCCTGAGAGACTTTCAGAGGAGACTCTGATCCTCCCTGAGTCTCAGTTTCCTTTTATAAGAGATATAACAATGGTGAACCAATATTGATATATTATTACTAACCAAAGTCCATAGTTTACATTAGGGTTTGCTCTGTGTTGTACATTTCTATGGGTTTTGAAAAAGGCATAATGTCACGCATTCATCAGAGATGGATGATCCATGCCAGGTGTAGCAATGGGAGGTTTAGATGCCCCTACCTGCCAGACACACTTGCAAATATGACTGCTGTGCTGTGCCATTATCTCCTTTTCAGGGATCTGAAGAATCTGCTGAGTGACCCTAGACAAATAAATCTACGGGGGAAGATGTTTCCTTCCCTTTTGCCTAGGTGCAGGTATGGGGTGCTTGGTGGTTAAGGTAGTATCAGCTCGTGGCTCAAAGGTAGAATGTAAAAGGAACTTCCAAGCTGGAGAAATACCAGGCTACACCGCACAGAGGGGAGCTGGGTGAGGGAGGCTCCTGCTGGTGTGAGCAGTGGCCTGGCGGCAAACAGTAGTTAGTCTCTTACCGATGGAAAAGGGCACAAAAGCATCACTCTTCTTAAACTGCCCCTTCTCATCCAGGAAGTGCTGGGGGTTGAAGTCCTGGGGGTTGGAGAAGAACTTGGGGTCTTTCAGCACGGAGCCCAGCATAGGGAACACTTCGGTGCCCTGGGAGGGAGGAGGAAGGTGTGTGTGATGAGGCAGGTTGGGGATTGGTGAAAGTACACAGGGGCTGGAGGGAGAACTAGGGTGCCCCAGGTAAGCGGAAGTGGCAGGCATGGAGGAGTTGGGGTACTCTGAGGAAGGAATTTTGGGGCATAGAAGGTTCATGTCTCTGAAACAGGAAGTTTGGGAGACATGGGGTCCATGTCCTGCTAGGCAGGGTGTTTGAGGGACCTGAGATTTGTGTCCCTAAGGCAAAAGGCCTAATAGAAAGGGGGCTCCTGTTTCTTAAGACAGGAAATTTGGGAACATGGGGTTGATTCTCATGACACAAAGAGTCTGGGGAGATGCAGGACTCAGGAGTCTCTAAGTGGGAAGGTGGAATGGATGTGGTGGTGGGGGAAGTCTTTTTTGACTGATTGAGGGAGTGGGACAGGGTCTAGAAAGCTTCTAATGGGGGTGAGATGCTGCAGACACAGAGAGGGGCTGGAAGTCCCTGTAGTCTGGGGGGTGGGGGGACAGTACCTTAGGGAGGAAGAAATCCCGAAACTTGGTGTCCCTGATGACCCTGTGGGCCAAACTCATGGGGATCACATCTCCAAATCTTTGGATCTCGTGGATCACTGCCTCCGTGTAGGGCATCTTGACCCGGTCCTCAAACTTGGGCTGCCGGTTCTTGCCGATCACTCTGTCAATCTCCTCATGGACCTTGGCTGGGGGAAGAGGGGGAATGTGTTTGGGTATCTAGGGGTCTCAGGGCAGGGATGATAGTCTGAATAGGTAAAACGGGGTGGGTGACATGGCTCCGTGTATGACACAGAGGTAGATCATTCATAGCGGACATCAGTCATTCGCATTGTTGGAGCAGGATCCTGTTTACCAGGTCATGCCAGAATCACAGTAGAGGCACCAGGAGGAACTTAGCGGATGATCCAGAGGAGCGGGTAATGGGGCACTCAGTGGGATTGGGACAGGAGTGACTGGCCAATCACTGCAGACATTTTCAGTATTTTAATAGCCAGTGAGACTCAATATTCAGCCTATCAGCTGAATATTGCCCTGTCTCTGGACAGCAAGGCACGTCTCAGGGTCCTGGGATCTGGGACAGGTGGGGACACTGCAGCAGGCTCAGGGAGTTTTGAGGGTCTGGGGCCCTCCACTTCCCTCCCCCTCCAGCCTTACCCTCCACCTCTGGGTGTTTCATGAGCAGCAGGAAGCCGTAGCGCAGGGTGGTGCTGACGGTCTCGGTGCCCGCAAAGAAAAGATTCAGCGTGGTCAGCACCAGGTTCTTCATGTAGAACTCCGTGTTGGGTTTCTTCTCCTCCTGCAGGGAGAGGGGGCTTTAGACCAAGCTCACACCCCATGCTCTTGAGACCCTTCTAGGGCTTTTTTCTTGGATCTTCCTCTCTTTGGTCCAGATGAAGGTGGAAAGAGGGACCCTAGATCTGCCAGACTCGCTCCAGGTTCCAGCCCTTGCCCTGGCTGCTGGCTTTGCCCAAAATGCTCTTCCTTCTCAGCTTCTTTACCTTGCTGACCATCTGTCCTTTAATTGTCAACTTAGCTGTCTGTTTTGTTTTTTTTTTTTTCTTATACAGACTTGGTCGTGCTAAGTTGTGCAGGGTGGACTCGAACTCCTGGGCTCAAGGAATCCTCCAGCCTCAGCCTCCTGAGTACTTGGAACTGCACATGCACATGACCATGCAGGCTCACTTGTTTTTTACAAAAAATTAATTTTTTTTGAGACAGGATCTTATTCTGTCACACAGGCTGGAGTGCAGTGCCATGATCTTGGCTCATTGCAACCTCTGCCCACCCTGGGCTCAAGTTGTCCTCCCACCTCAACCTCCTGAGTAGCTGGGACTACAGGCATGCACCACCACACCCAGTCACTCTTTGTAGTTTTTGTACAGACGGGATTTTGCCATGTTGCCCAGTCTGTTACTTTTTTAATGGTATGAATATTTAGAAAGAGAAGGATGAGGGGAGACGAAGAGAAAGTAGTACAGAGATGGCAAGATGAAGAGTCAGAAAAAAAGAGTTTTTCGGAGATACAAGCACAGAATTTTAAGCAACAGCATCCTATTTCTTCCCTAAAAATCTTGAAACTTACTATGGAGGCATCTCCTCCCTTGATCCTTTCTGCCTGAGCTTCAGACTCCCTAAAGCCTTCCCACATGGGAGACTGACGTCCAGATGGAGGTGGGGACCCTGTAATGTAAAGCCAGGTCACCTGTCTACAGAGGTGTGTCTGATAACCAGGGCATGAATGGTTACAGAGCACAGTGGGTAAAAGCACCAGCTTTAGGCTCAGAGACACCAGCCTTTGAGCTTGGGGGACCAAGGCTTCCTCGCTTTGTGACCTCAGTTAAGATACTTAAACTCTCTGGGCCTCAGTTTCCTCATTTGCACAATTGGGGCCATAATTGAACTTCCTTCAAGAGCTGTTGTGAGTGTTCAGTGGGGACTATCTTAAAGCACTTAACGCAGTGGCTGGCACGTGGTAGTGCTGTAGAAGTGCTTGCTATTCTAATTCACGTGCGCAAGTCCTGCCTGTGGGTGAGGGCTCAGTGGTTGGAATAGCTGTGGTTGATATAGTTGGGATTGTGAGGATTTTTTTTTTTTTTCCTGAGAGTCTTGCTCTGTCACTCAGGCTGGAGTAGAGTGGCATGATCTCGGCTCACTGCAACCTCTGCCTCCCGCATTCAAGCCATCCTCCTGTCTCAGCCTCCTGAGTAGCTGGGATTACACGCGCACCCTACCACGCCTAGCTCATTATTGTATTTTTAGTAGAGATGGGGTTTCACCATGTTGGCCAGGCTGGTCTCGAACTCCTGACCTCAGGTGATCCATCTGCCTTGGCCTCCCAAAGTGCAGGGATTACAGGCATGAACCACCGTGTCCGGCCAATTGTGAGGATTATGATGATGAGGGCTAATTTGAATGGGCCTGTGTTGCCTGCCCGCCCCACTCCCAGCCTGATTTCCCTCTGCCTGGCTTTGCACCTCCCCGCACTGGCTGCTGGGGTGTACCTCCTGCATGCGGATCAGAAAGGAGTCGATGAAGTCCCGTGGGGAATTGGGATCCAGCGTGTGCTGGTTGTGCTCCACCTTCTTGGCTATGAAGTCCTCCAGCCCCTGCAGCTCCTTAAAGGCCTGTTGCTGTGGTCCTGGCAGGTGTTTCATCACCGAAGAGAACATCTCATAGAGCTGGGGTTGCAGAGAGAGGATGGGAAGGGAAGGACAGTTGTCAGGGGTCAGGAGCTGATGGGAATGGGACTTGTTTCATAGCAAGGAAGGAACCGAGTTAAAGGCATCTGTCCAGGTGTTTAGGTATTTCAGTGGGGTTGGATGGGAACTTATATCTAAGTTTTCATGTGGGTTAGGTGCCAGGGCCACATTCTACTAGTTTCGGTGAGAAGAACTGAGGCATATATCCAGGTTTCAGGTATGCAAATGAGGCTGGATTGGAGCACACATCTAAGTGTTCACATATTCAAGTGAAGTTGAGTTGGAAGACACCTGTCCAGGTGTTTAGCTATTCAGGTGGGGCTGGTATGAGGGGAGTGTCACCTGTCTAGGTATTTAGGCATTCAGGTGGGCTTGGTTGGAGACAACTACCCAGAAAATTTTTGGGTCTGAACTGGGGGCTTTTGTTCAGGTGTTCAGGTATTAAAGTGGGGCTGGTGAAGATGTTGAAGTGGAGGGGATACCTGTTCAGGTGTTTACCTAGCCAAGTGGGATGCATTGGGAGCTCCTCTGTAGGGTGTGTGATTGGAAAGTTTTGGGGAACACTTATTTGGGTGTCTGGGGAATAATCTGTCTAAATATTTATGTATTTAGGGTGTTGGTTAGGGCAGCTGTCGATGTTTTCAGGTATTTAAGTGGGTGAAGTAGAGGGCGCTTGGCCAGATATTCCAGTGGGCTAATTTGGGACATTTGTGTAGATGTGAAATGATCATGATGGGCTGGATTTTGCAGCACCAGGTGTTCAGGTATGCAGGAGGGGGGTAGAGGCAATCACTTGTCCAGGTGTTAAAATATTCAGAAGAATTGGGTAGGGAGCATCTGTTAGAAATTTTGGTAAGTTGGGGATGGGAACACGTGCCCAGGTGAGAGAGCTGAGCTGAGGGCTTGCATCCTGCCGGCAGGCTCTGTTCTGGGGAGCATGTGTTGAGCTATTCGGGTGTCCTTGGAGACTGGGTATTGGGCACCCATCCTGGGTTCTGGTGCAACTGCCCAGTTGTCCAATATTGGGGGTTGATTTTGAGGGGACACTGGCTGGAGGGGGGTGGGAGTTTGGGGCACCTGTCTCCAGGTAGGGGAGCAGTTGGCAGGTTGTGGTAGGGGCGTCACGGGCTGGACTGCAACCGGTTACCTGCCCGGTGGAGGTTGCCGTGAACTGGAAGCTTCCCAGCATCATGCGCAGCAGTGACAGGAACTCTTTGTCCTCATAGTCAAAGCGGTCCCCAAAGACAATGGAGCTGATGACATTGGAGACGGTTCGGCTCAGGAAGAAGGTGGGATCGATATTGGCGCCTACGGGTGTGGCCGGAGGAGAGGGTTGGGGAGAGAGTCAACTCAGAGGCCTGGGGAGAGTCAGAATTCCGGAAGGCAGGGCCCAGTTGAGCCAAATTCCCAGCGCCAGACTCCAGGGCTGGAAGTGCGGGGGCCTTTCCCCACCGAGTCCCCATCCTCAGGCAGAACGCGCGCGCGCGGGTCCCTAGCCCTGGGCGTTTTCCTGCTCTTGCCCCCACACTCGGGGTCTCCTGCTCACCGTGCGTGCCCCGGAGGGCCTCGATGAGGAAGCCCGCCTCCTCCTGGATGCGCTCCTCGATGCCGCGCTTGCCCACGCCGAAGTCCCGCAGGGTGGCGATGGAGAAGCGCCGGAGCTGCTTGGCGCGCTCCCCGTTGCTGAACGCCACGCCTGAGAAGGTGAACGTGGGGGTGGAGAGAGGTCAGGGGGCGGCGGGGGCAGGAGCGGACCAGCTAAAAGGGGCTCCCCAAGGGTGGAGCAGAGAGGGAGTGGGGTGGGAGACAGATGGATTCAGCGCGAGTGCCCAAGAGAGCTGCAAACTCAGTCAGAGAAACGAGAGAGAGAGAGAGAGAGAGAGAGAGAGAGAGAGAGAGAGAGAGGGAGAGAGAGAGAGATCAGATAGAAAAAATAAGATAATCAGAAGAGAAGCAGAAAGTCCAGACAGACAGATGCCCAGAGAAACAGAGGATTAGGGGGACACTCCATGGAGGAAGGGAAGGAAGTGGGGAGAGAAAGAGAAAGAGAGATGGAGGAAGAGGATGGAGGGAGGGGAAGTGAGATATGGGGAGATCTGGGAGGAGGAAATAAAAATGGTGAAAGATTCTTAAGCTGAGCTGGAGAAGAGAGAAAAATAAGGAGACAGAAACAGAGAGGATCAAGAAGGAGGACAGACTGTTACCAGGAGGTGGAGGCTGGAGATGTGGAAGTAGGAATAAGGTGAAATCCTAAGACAGAGGAAGAAGTGGGAGAGGGAAGCGGAGAGAGGAGAAACACGGAGAAGCACAGAAGCTGAGAGTGACAAAAAGACAAATGAAGACAGAGGACCAGGGTTGGAAAACAGAAACCCAGGATGTCCTCAGAGATGGAGAGAGGGGAAAGAGGAGACTCCAGTGAGGCGGAATGAGGAGAGAGAACAAGGGGTAGAGAGAGGCAGGGAGGAATCAGGACAGGGACGCTGGAGACAGGTGAGGGACACACAGGGAGAGGCCACAATGAAAGGAGATGGGGAGAGAAGACCAGACAGGGGGCTCTGCCATAGCCTCCAGTGGACAGGAGAGGCAGGGAGAAGCCCGGGGACACTGAGACCATCTCGTCCCCCTGGCCACCTTCCCCCTCTTGGGCACCCCCTCACCATAGCCTTTGAAGAGCCAGTCGAAGGTGGCCTGCTCGCCTCGCCCGCTGAACTCCTCAGCCTGGTCCACCAGAGCCTCCCTGACGGCATCATGTCCGCACAGCACCACGACCCGCCGGGGCCCCAGGTGAATGGTGAACACGGGGCCATAGCGCTCACTGATCTGATGGAGGCGGGTGGGAGAGGTTAGAGGGAGCAGCCGCTACTCCGAATGGACCCAGCACTGAGATTTCATGTACTGGGATGTTTCGCCCATTCAGGTTCTCACAGTCAGGGAGCTGGACATCCCAAGATCCTGTCTTTCCTGGCTAGGACCCTGACGCTTAACCTCCAAAACTCCCTTTCCTGAGACTCTGGTCCACAGTGGTCAACCCCCTGCCACAAAGCCCCCGCCAGCTGGGCAGCCCCCACCCCGTGCCACCCATCTCCCTGCCTTGGGACACCTTCATGAGGGAGGTGCACATCTGCTCTGTGTTCAGCTGCAGGTAGTTTCCAATGAAGGGCAATGGGATGGGTCCCGGAGGCAGCTTCCCCTTGCTGTTCCTCTGCTGCCAGACAGACATCAAGACCATCACAGTCAGGCAGGCCAGCAAGGCCACCAGGAGCAGCCCTGAGGCCAGCATGGTGGCAGTGGGATGATAGATGGTGATGGCTGGGGTGGTTTACCTTTATACTGCCTGAAAAACAGGGGCGGAGTTCTGTTGATTATATAACCACCTCAATTTTACCTCCCAACTACACCCCCAATCTACACCTGAATCCCGCCTAGCTTGGGACACAGCCAGCAAGGGAGGAGGAGGGGGACCCCAGGGCAGTTGAACAGAGAGGGGAGCTCTAGACTAAATCTGTGGTACTTCAGGAGGGGTACCCTAGGGCTGTGGGTTAAGGAGGGGGCATCAGATAAACTGTAGAATGGAGGAGTTTAGAATATTTGCACAGGGGAGCACCTGGACTTTGGATTTTTGGTCTGAAAAATGAGAATGTACCCCAAAGTTGTGGATTTGGAGGTTCCAGGGGAGAGGAACCCAAAAGTCTGGGTTTTATTAGGGTTAGATGGAAGTGTGGCTGTGCATTTGGGGGTCTTCTGTTGTGAAGGATGCAGGGTTAACAGTCTCAGGAGGGGGGATTCCAGGCATATGGACTTGAGAGTCTTGGGGCTAGGAAGACCAGGGTGTGGGTGTGGAGTTTCTGGGAGGAGGAGTGTGTAGCAAGCCCAGCAGCTCCTCCCAGAAAGCCCACAGCTCAGCACTGGGCCCAGGGACTGACTTGATTTTGCTGTGGCCCAGAGCTGTCTCTTGATGCCCAGAATCTTCACTGGAACCTCAGAGTGAGGCCAGGATGGGTGCCATAGAACCTCCACTGCACATCTCTGGTTGGGAAAGGGGTGGAGGACCAGAGCCATATTTCAGGGGAACTTTCCCCACTCTTGGAGAAGAGTGCCTCAAGTTATCAGTTGGTAGAGGGATTGGCCAGGTCTGGAGAAATAGTAATAACAACCCCCAAATGGTGGAAAAATCTCATGTCCCAAGGGTTGGAATTTACAAAGACCTCCACTCGTTTCCAACCCAGATCCTTAGGGAGACCCACTAGATTGATTGTATCATCCCTATTAATATTATTATTGTTATTTATGTTTCTCATTTTATATAAGGGTCTACAGAGGACAGAAAACAGACAGTGGGCAGGGGACATGCGTGAGTGGCCCTGAACTCCCATCTCTCCTCCTCTGTGTCCTTAGTTCCACTTTGTGGATTTGGTTTTCCCACCAGTGGAAAGGGAGTGTTTGGGAAGAGAAGATCATATTTGAGGGTCAGTTAAGTCTCCTTTAAGAGCAATTCGTGCTTTGTCAGGGGCTACCACTATTAGCAGGCAGAGGGAACAATCGCAAAAGAGATTGGGGTAAACTCCAGTGTTAGGCACAGAGGCAGAGCCTGGGGTGGGTGGGAGTGGAGAAGGGATGAGTAGCCTCCTGTCCTTCCCTCAGGGAAATTCTTCCTTAGTAAACAGGATAGTTACCCTTTGGTGAGCACGGTCGCATATGGGAAGATCAAGTCTAGGTGTGTATGACCTGGTTGAATCTTTGTAACAATGAGGTTGGTTCATCATCATCCTCATTTTGAAGACGAGCAGATCTAGACTCCATAAATCCTCTTGAGTGAGGTCACACAGGGAGTAAGTGAGGGAGCTGGGATGTGAACTCTCTCCTCGTCCCCCTTCATTTTCTGGCCTAGATCATCTTGGGATTCAAGAGCAGGCCAGGCTTAGCAGGAGATGGGTGCTGAGACTGGCATCAGCAGTGGACACAGGGATGACACTAGCGGGTTCTGATATCTGCATCAGGTACGGCCAGAGAGGGGAGGCATCGTGCTGGCTTTGGGACTGCCCCCAGGTATACGCGAGGATGGGAAAGAAGTTGGCACTGAACTTGACACCAGGAGAATATTAAAGTCATGTTTGGTGCCGAGAGGGCTCTGTGTGTTGTCTCAGGTGTCATTCAGGACATAAGAGTGTCCTGCTTCAGGAGGGCATAAGAGTGGCACCATCTAGGGTCTGAGGTTGGTCACAGTAGGCTCTGACATGAGCATAAGGCAGGTGTGATATTGGTCCTGTGTGAGCCTCAGCCAGACCCTGTGAGGGGCCCTAGATGGCCACAGGACAGGCTCTGATGTTTGGAGCTTCCAGGGTTGCACCTGTCCTCTGGGTCACCAATTTTGGACAAATGGAGATGGATGAGGTTGGCACCCCAGGACTGACATCTTGCTCAAAGTGTTCTAGGATGCTGAGCTCTGAGACCTGTGTGGAGGGAGCAAAGGTCAGAGAACAACGTGAAGAGAGGAAGGCTGTTTGTTGATTTTGGAGGGGAAGAGGTGGGAAGGAGGATTAGCACCAGCTGGGCCAACATCAATCCCTCTAATCCTGGTCACCAGCCTGCACCTGGGCTTGCCCCAAGCCTGGGTCTTTCCTTTTCCTTCTTGTTTCTTAGAAAGGTGGGAGATAGAAATCTGGGGAGTTGGTTTCTCAGTGAGGTTGGCACAGGGAAGGGCACTGAGTGGTCAGCAGGCTGCCATGACCTGGCCAGGGAGGGGTGGGGAGAGACAGGCTGGGAGAACTCCAGTATTTGTGCACATAGAGGTCAATCGATGTTGGACTTGTTGATTACCCTGGAGCGTGGAGTGAGAGAATGGTGTCTGAAATCATGTGGGAGGGACTTGTCCCAGTGGGCAGTGTCTCGGGTACAGGCTTTCAGAATGAGTTAGTGGCGAACCCAGGAAGATCCCTTTTCTTTGCTGGGCTTCAGTTTCCCTTTCTGGATGGATGGAACAATGATTAAGGCCTGGATTGGAATGCTAACCTTAACCCTTCTTTGTTGTGTGGCTTTGAACAGTTGACTTTATCTCTATGAGCCTTTTGGAGCCAAGAATAGCTCCTACCTCTTTGGCTATTTAGGGGAGAAGTGTATGTGTTAATGCAGATGAGGTACATGGCAGTAAGTGCTCAACGAATAGTAGTTGTTCTCTTTAATCTGTAGGATGAAATGGATGGATGAGATGTTCCCTAAGCACCTTCCTTGCTTTTACATTCTCTAGTCTAAAGCTCCCAAATCTTTTCCTTTGGGAAGGAGGGAAGGGACAGAGTTTTTGGGAACCTCTTTCCCCATGTCTTCCTCAGCACAGCCAAGATTTACCCCATGGAGCTGTGAATAGGAAATTAATCCTTCATGGCCTCCTGGAGCGTGGTGCTGAGTTCGGCAGTGTCTGCAGAAGGACAGGCCAGCATTAGACTCTCAGGTTATTCTGGTTGGCCCTTGAGCCCTGCACAGGACTTTGCCTACCTGTCTGTCTACCCTTGTCTTGGATCCCATCTTTCTATCTTTCTCTTTCTCCTTTCCTGCAAGTTAATGTTCCCCTCAATCACCCTGTGTGCTCCTGCATCTTTGTATTTTGTGCCATTTTGTCCAATGGGTTCTCCTGGATGCCTCTGCCATGTTTATCCTAATTTATACAACTGTCTGTGTGTCATTCTGGGTGCATGCTTGTAGTGTCTATGTGCACGTATGTTTCAGTATGTCCATGTTGATACATGAATTTGTGTGTGCGCCAGGCTTTGTGGCGTGTATGTTTGTGCTTGATAATGGGTATCCATTCCAACTTATGTCTACACATGCACATGTGTGTGTGCACCTGACAGGGTGTGCCACTGTTTCTCAATGCTTGCCAATCTTTTTGTCTGTCTCTGCATACAGCATGTGTGCACACATGATTTAGGGGTGTCTACAATGTGCATTTCTGTGTGAAACAAGATGTATGCTGCATATTCATATTTGTGTGTACGCATTCACAACTGGGTGACTACGTATAAGTCATATAAGTATGTGGATGTTTTCTTTTTTTTTTTTTTGAGACGGAGCCTCGCTCTGTGCCCCAGGCTGGAGTGCAGTGGCGCATTTTCGGCTCACTGAAAGCTCCGCCTCCCAGGTTCACGCCATTCTGCTGCCTCAGCCTCCTGAGTAGCTGGGACTACAGGCGCCCGCCACCGCGCCCGGCTAATTTTTTGTATTTTTAGTAGAGACGGGGTTTCACCGTGTTAGCCAGGATGGTCTCGATCTCCTGACCTTGTGATCCGCCCGCCTCGGCCTCCCAAAGTGCTGGGATTACAGGCGTGAGCCACCGCGCCCAGCCATATGTGGATGTTTTCATGTGTGCATTCAAGTGTCTGTATGCAGGCTTGTGGGCCATGTTGTATACATGTGAACATCTGATATTTTCCTGTGCTCATCTGTGTTTGGATTAAAGCAGTCCTAGCCCAGCTCCATTTCTCTGCTTGAAAAACACCCCAGAACTGTGGGAAGATTTTATGAGCATAATCTTAATTAAACTCCTCATCGCAAGACTGTAAGGTTGGCTTTATCATCTCCATTTTGCAAATGAGTTAGGTAAGGCCCCCAAAGTCGGTTGTAAGTGACTTGCTTCTGCATTCCACAGCTAATGAGGGTAGAGTCTTAGTATAGTCTTGTGTGACTCTAAATTTCGTTCTTTCTCTCTCCTTCCTTCCTTCCTTCCTTCCTTCCTTCCTTCCTTCCTTCTTTCTTTTCTTTCTCTCTCTCTCTTTCTCTCTTTCTTCTTTCTTTCCTTTCATTCTTTTTTTCTTTTTGAGATGTTTTGCTCTGTTGTTCTCGTTGCCCAGGCTGCAGTGCAATGGCGCAATCTCGGCTCACTGTAACCTCTGCCTCCTGGGTTCAAGTGATTCTGCAGCCTCAGCCTCCCGAGTAACTGGGATTACAGCCACCATGCCCAGCTAATTTTTGTATTTTTAGTACAGACGGGGTTTCACCATGTTTGTCAGGCTGGATCTCTTGACCTCAGGTGATCCTTCCACCTTGGCCTTCCAAAGTGCTGGGATTATAGGTGTGAGCTACCACACCTGGCTGTGAATGTAAATTTCATGCTGTTAATCACTACTTTGGGACTGCCAGGCCCCACCTGGTTTTCTTTATGAAACATTAGAAAAACTGCTTGTAATCTCTTGTGTTTCTTCAAATACTTCCGTGTAAACATGTAACAAAAGATTTCAAAATGTTAGAAAAAAAGTCTTTTAATAGGAAGGAGACTTGACCTTCTATAGTGCTTGCACTCTTTGGAACCTTAACCAAAGACCTCATTGGCCAGTATACCCCGCAGGCCATTGGCAATGAAGCAGTGGGGGAGTTGGGGTACCAGTGGTTGTGGTCAGAGAATGAAATGTCTGTGTTTGACATTTCAGAGTGATGACAAGGATTAGGGTGGGGCTGTGGGAATGTTGGCTGAAATAGAGTGAGGAAGGTCAAAGAAGAGAAGAAAGTCAAGATTCTTTTTTTCTGAGTGTTTGGGCAGCGCACATCCATTGCCATGAAGTTCCTCCCTACCAGGAAAATGGCAGGACTTAGAGTCCAGAGATGGGAAAGAAGTTGGATAGATGACAGGATGAACAACTTTTTTGTGTGTGTGTGAGACAGAGTCTTGCTCTGTCGCCCAGGCTGAGTGCAATGGCGCGCTCTCGGCCCACTGCAACATCTGCTTCCTGGGTTCAAGCAATTCTTCTGCCTCAGCCTCCCGAGCAGCTGGGATTACGGGCACCCACCATCATGCCTGGCTAATTTTTGTACTTTTTTAGAGACAGTGTTTCGCCATGTTGGCCAGGCTGGTCTTGAACTCCTGACCTCAGGTGATCTGCCCGCCTCAGCCACCCAAAGTGTTGGGATTACAGGGATGAGCCACTGTGCCCGAACAACTTATTTATTTTTATTTTTTAAGAGGACAAAGATGTCAGCCGCCAAGTGCACTGATGAAGAGTTTCTTCTGGTAATATTTGAGTAGCTTCTATTGGAATAAAAACTATTAACTCTGTGGAAAACATTTGTAACAACCTAATTCCCTGAAATCACTGGGGAGTGAAAAAAAGCAGCAGCTTCTGAAGGGAGTTAGAAGAAAGGGATTTCCAGATGAAAAGAAAAAAGAAAACACATAGCTTTGGTCTTCCTTATCGCAGGAAGAATGGGAGATGGGGTCACTGCAAATTTATTTTAGAATATTTTTCATCTTATTAAAATCCTTTAAAATGCAGACCACTTCTTGACTGGGAGGGCTAGGTAAATAACAATTCCTAAGGGAACTAATATTTTTTACATGCTGTGTCTCTTTAAATGTAGAAAGGTGATCAAGATGGCTGACCAGATGCAGGTAGTATGGCCTTCTTCGTGGAGAGGAACTCCATTTTAAACAGATTATCTAGGAGAGAGTGCTTGGATTCATCAGAGAAGAGACAGGATTCAACAGAGAAGAGATGGGAAGCACCGGAAGTGAGTAAGGAAAGGGGATTGACTGAAAGCTGAGAGCGGCTCCTGGATGTGGGGAAATTATAAGAGAGAAACTCCCAGGGCTCCACACTTTGAAATGGGCATTTATGATCTTGGCTATGGTAGAAACCCTCAACCCACTTGGGTCTTGGGCCTGACATATGGAGCTCCCTAAAGATTGTGCAGAGACATTGCCCTGGAAAATGGAACCCACATGGAATCCCATCTGAGCCTAGAGCAGCCTCAGCTGGGTGCCATTTTGAGAACCTAGATGCTGGAGATCTACAGAAATGGTGGCTGCCCCTCTACTGCTTCAGGTAGGTATAGAGGAGACCCAGCACTCCCAGGCACCCATGGGAGGGTCCTTTCTGCCTTGCTGTGGGCTGCTGTTGAGACTGAGATGTGAGTGAACCACACTCCCTGCAGCTTCTTACCCTGGTTGCAGGCCCAAGAAACCATTTTGAGAGTTTAATACTGTACTGTGCCCTACCCTGAGGCCCAGTTTCAGTTGACCTGGCTGCAGCCACCACCTGGCCAAGGAGGGACAGGGAAACAAAGTTCCTTTACATATACCTAGGACAATTCCCCTGACCCTGCTATGGGCTGTTGTGACAGGGAGACTTGAGCGGACCCCGCTTCCACAATTTCTTGTTCATACTGCTTACCTGAAAGGGTCCTGCCCTCTTGGGTCACAAGCCCACAGCTTGCACAATTATGAGAGTTTAATGTTGGGCTCTGTCCCCCTTTTTGCCAAGTGTGAGTTGATGCCACTGTAGCCACCACCCAGATTGGGGAGGGACAGGGGAGAACAAGCTCTCCTAAGCACACTTAGGACAATACCACCACCCTTCTACAGGATGCTGTGGGACTGGGGAGTAGCCCACCGAACCCATTGCATCTACCAGCAACACCAACATGGACTGCCTGGGTCCTAGTGGATTGCTCCACCACCACTACCACC